ATGAGCTATCTGAGGACATCCGCAGATGATTTCACATAGGAGCTGGCTAAATGTTTTTGCACTGCCAGAACCCAGTTAAGAATTTGGGCTTTCCCGTTTTTTTTAAAAAACTGGCATATATCCATATTAAGTGGCTTTCTGTGAGTTCAACCAAATGTGAAAGTGTGCATTTTGTGACCACTTGATCCACCTTAATACTAGTCAGTGTAGGTGAGGCTTTAATGGCAAATACACCAGTAAGTATCATTTTAGCAACACCTGGAAAAGTTATTTTGGTATGTGCCTCTGCTGGCTGAAGAATGGACTCCAAAATAACTTTTTAGAATGGGTTATACATAATACACATATTTTTGTATTTTCTTCCAATTCTAATATGTCCTCTCATATTACAAAACAAAAGAAGTTACGGAATACCCATTAGTTTATCTCATATTGGAAAACAATATGAGAGAGACTCATGGGTCTTCCGTAACTGCTTTTATACCATAACATGCTTTTTCATATGTTAGAAATCAGAGTATAATTGTGATAAATCTGTGAGTAGGATTTTAACATGCACAGCATGATTGAGGAATCTATTACTCCCCTATCATCCATCTATCACCCTAGGCTCAGTTGACAGGGGCTGTTGGGGAGTGAAGTTGAACTAGACTAGGACAGTGTTAGGTTACCCTAAATACAGCACAAGCATATGCATGTTCAACGTAACTGTTGCGTTGTATGATTCATAAAAATTACGTCCGAGAAGATCTACTGCCCCCAAAATAGACTTGATATCACTGAGTCACATTGCTGACTCAATTCAATTTGCAAGTAACAATTCCTTTAATTGTTAGTAATTTGTCAGTAACAATTCATTTGGTTGTTACATTGGCATTCTTTCTTCAACCCCTTGTGGTTTGAAATCTGTTAAGGAGTTATGCCTGTGTAATCAGACGGATACAGTTAATTGGCATTTCTACTGGCTTGCATAAAAAGAGCTCAGAGACCTTACTCCAGAAGCAGCTCTGCTGGCTCGCACAAACCTTGCCAGTAAAACACATATTTTCTGTCCTCCTCGCTCCCCTCAATCTGGATGCATTGGTTTGATGAATACCCTACACAGTTTTACTGGCATAGTTTTACACTGTAATGGCATTCAGCCTCACTCTTTTTACTTCTTTGTGGAAACAAATATATTGTATTGAATTGTATTGCTATTTTGCTTCTGTTACAAGGCTGAAATATTTTGTTATTACATAGAGCTTGTGAAAGTTAAGCTTCTGGATATCAGATACAATAATGCTCTGGCCAGTATAACCTCAAGTTACTTTTCCAATCTCTTTAATTATCTTTGTTTCTTAATGTGGGTTCAGTTCCTCTCAGTTTTGTATGACCAATAAACAGAATTTGGTCTAATATAGCACTTCTCCTTTGTACAGTACTCTGGTTCGAGAACTCCTGGATCACTGTTTTGCATGATTAACACTTCATTGGCCTCTTCTGACTCACCCAACATCCCCAAATCTCTCACATTTTCCTCTTTGTTTTTCTTGATAAACATTGAGCCTCCCTTATATTTCAAAACTGTCCCCTGGGTGGCTGAGAGAGTGAGATCATTGCTTTCAGAAATTTTATTTCATATGCAAAAGTGTAAAAAACAAAACAGTGTTTAAAATTACACCCAGGCCATGTATCTAAGGTGTAAATGAATTATAAATGAATTTCATGTTTAGACTTGGGTCCTATATCTGCCACTCAAGCAACTGGAACTCTCAAGCAACCAGCAGAAAAATAGAAGACATAATACTTAAAATTTAAATTTA